ATGACACAATGTAAAAATGACACTTATTCTTGTGGTGAGGCTGTACGTTTGATTTTGACAACACACAGCCGAGGCACAAAAAGTCATTTTTACTCGTAATAGAATATGCATTTTTTTTTCAAACGCCACAAATAATTTGAAACGTTCCAAATAATATAAAAATATTTAAAAGTCATACCTTTTATGTTATTCTACAGGGTCGCTGTTATGTATGGAAACGGTCGATTATTAGGTAAAATATAGGAGGTACCGCAAAAACTTAAATACAAAAGCTGTCGGATTTTTAAATATCTATTAGCGAATAATAAATATACAGGGTCGGTCATAATGTCGTGGCACATAAAAGTTTCATTTCTATAAATAGTATCCCCTGTATATTATTACATATTTGAATTTTTCTTTCAATTCTAAGCAAAAATCGAAATATACACAATGTACCTCAAACCAATCGTTTCCGAGTTATTGACTTTCGAACATATCACTTAAACAATTTGATTTAATTACTTTCGATATGTTCAGTTTCATTTAATGATGCTGTTCTGCCAAATCTGTGATACTGTTGTAATGAGTTTTTAAATGCCTATTAGCTACGAGTAAATTTAAGTATACAGGGTGGGTCATAAACTTTTGGCACATCAAACTTTATTCCTTTTTAAATGGAACCCCCTGTATATTATTGCATATTTCAATTCTTCCTTCAATTTTAAGCAATAATCGTAATACACAATGTACATAAATTGAAGAATGGAAATGTTAAACGAAGATTTTTTAATTTCCACACTTGATATAATCTCATTTTATACATCTATAAATGCTAACTTGAGAACTAATGTAAAATATTATAAAGTATCGGCAGAATGGCATCGTTAAATGAAACTGAGCATATCGAAATTAAGTAAATGAAATTGTTTAAGTGATATTTTCAAACGTCTACATTGTGTAGATTTCGATTTTTGCTTAGAATGGAAGGAAATATTGAAATATGCAGTAATATACAGGGGTTCTATTTAAAAAATAAAACTTTTATGTCCCACGACTTTACCTGCGTATACTTAAATGTATTACTCGCTAATCGATATTTAATAATCTTATATAACTTTAGTATTTAACTTTTTGCGGTACCTCCTATATTATACCTAATAATCGACCGTTTCCATACATAACAGCAACCTTGTATATCAAAAAATCAATACCAAATTGTTGAATTTGACAATTTATGTCAGTTTAATAATATATTTTTGTACTTTTATGCTTAGGCGTAAAAATGACTTTTTTATATCGCCAAACACGTCGCAAAAATTAATACTTTTGTGACGTTTGAAAAAAAAAGTAAATTTTTGTAAACACCTTGAGACCTTTCTTCAGTGAATTTTTACTAGTAAAACTAATTTTCCTAACCGATAAAACATACCGAGAACGACGGCCAAACCAAACGTTTAAATTTCTTTAAAAAATTATTTGAAGCGACCGTTTCTTACCGATTTTGACGTTTGAAAAAAATAATAGCATGTTCTATTCGGAGTAAAAATGACTCTTTGTGCCTCGCCTGTTACTTCAGATTCGCTTACGCTCGTACCAACATACAGCCTCGCCACAAAAGTATAACTTTTACTCCTAATAAAATAATATACTATTTTATTTTGTAAATTTTTCTTGCAGTGGAAAAAATAACCCAGAATGTTTTTCCAAAAAAGGATATTAATGTTTATTTATCCACGTTACCTTTTATATGTCGCTGTAGATTTTTCTAAATCTAGTTCTAAAATTACACAAGAAATAGAACGTATTTTTTACAGCCAAATCATAATCTAGATTAAACTTTATAGATATCCTCCTGAAAAGAAATGTCCCGATAGTAATCCCTCAAATGCTTAGAGGATAAATATATTTCTTTTTCTTTTATTATATGGCCACTAAAACAAACCAACTTGATACGTTTTTTCTGGACGAGTACAATAAAAAAGCGTTTACGTTGTTTTATCTTACTCTATTTTGTGTCGAGGGTCGAAAATATGTAATTTTTCTATATATTGTTTTATTGTTGTTTATGGCCTTCCTTAATACCTTATAAAGTTTATATTTTAATTAAATTAGTCAAAATGTTATAGTAAAGTGGCTAAATACCTTTAAATCTATGTTAATATCTTTAGAACATTAAGATTTAGTTACATCCTATTACATTCTCAAGATTTTCCTTGGTTCAAGTAAGAACAATCTTCGGATTGTCAAAGGGTTTTTAACAGGAGACTGACTCCTCAATAAACACCTCAGTAGATTGAAGCTCAGACACAATGCCGAAAATGGGGAAACACCAGAACACCTCATCACTGAGTGCGCCGAGATGGCAAATATTCATGCCATAAACTTTGGTACGACTGATATCGGAGATGAAGGACTAACCTCTGTAAAAATGAGTCACCCTTGTGTCAAAGCTTTGAGACTGTGATGTGGTATGACTAAAGAAAAGGTGACACAATAGATCTATAAGGTCGCGATGATTAACTTTCCCCTTCCTATATATACAATCTACAATCTATTAACCATATTGATATATAATTGTACGGTATAAATAAAACCTAAAAGCAAAATTTAACAATTTCTATAAAGTTAATTAATAATTCTTGCGTGCGTTAACTACTGATTCCAGCACAAAATATTCACTATAGAAATCTACAAACCATTAAAAAATAAACAATAATCCAAACATCTCCAACAAAAAAAGGGAATGGAAGCTGAGCCCAGGAATAAGAAACAAAAAGCTGAAAAATTTGCGGACCAAATTGAAAAAGTATTTCAACTTATTACAGCAGAGGAAGATAATTTCTAATGTTATTGAACAGGAGAATAAAATAATTCTCCTTATCATTCCAGCTGAAATTAAACAAGATATAAAAATCAATATCAATCCAAAAAAGCAGCAAGGTTAGCCTTATAACTAGAAAAAAGTTAAAAGAGTTACCAAGAAAAGCATTGATCGAAATCTATATTAATTAACGATTCGATTAGGTTGAAATATATACCACAAATATGGCAAATGGCTGAAGTGATAATTTATCCTTAAGTCAGGAAAGCCACCCCAGGAACCAGCATCATGTCGATCAATATGAAAAGGCTAAGTCTAATTAGCGGGAAAAAAACCTCATCACCCCAAATCAATTTGGTTTCAGAAATCAACATTCCACGATTGATCAGATTCACACAATCACCACAATCACCAGTATCACTGAGAAAGCATTAGAAAAGAGAAAGTTATATTCGCCAATGTTTCTAGATGTTGCACAAGCTTTCGATAAAGTTTGGCATTAAGAGTTGAAACTAAAACACAAAATGCTCCTTCCTGTCCTTATACAGAAATCTTTATCATATATATCAAAACTCTACTTCAGGATCAAGCAATATGAGGCCTATTCCGAGAAAAAATTAAGCAGGAAAACAGCAAGGAAAGAGTAAAAAAATTGAACTAATATAGTGAAAAGTATTACTGCAGCTCAGTGTATCCTAAAATAGTGCTAAATAGAAAAAACACAATCAAATTACTGTTATCGGATTAGTGTTTTGTTTTTCCCCAGCAAATTAAGTTGAAAACAGGTAGCTTATTAAAGTAATTCTTCTAGCAATTTTACTAGATTGCTATAATAAAATGGCCCAGTGATTTAAGATGTTATATTATAATAATATTAATAATGGTATCATTTTCAATGTAAGTATTTTAAAAGTACGTGCATCTCTAAAGAGCAGGTATTATCAGAGGTATTATTATACTTTAACTGGCAGTATAGTCTTCCAACGACGAAACCTTTGAGAGTGATAGATGTGTCTGTCATTTTAATTTCAAAGTAGTTCTTTTCATTCCACAAAGAAATAAGTTGGTACAATAATTGGCATGCATAGAAGGAAATTAATATATTTAAAATTTGAATGATAAGTGATTACTTCAAAATTCAAAATATTGCGAAAAAAAAAACTGTATAAAACTGAAAAAATTTAATCGAGTAATTTTATTAAAAAAAATACGGTATGTGTTAATACAAAACAAACAGGGATGTATTTTAAACAAAAAATCACATACGAAAAAATGTAAAAAAGAACTATACTCTTACATATATTAGATGGTAAACAAACTTTACTGATCGTAACTTTATTGGTGTATAAAACTCTTGTTTGCATGGGCACCGAATATTAACTATAAACTGTGCTCTGGATCTAGAGTTCATATTCCCTCGATTTTTCCTCCACTTCCACTTCAAAAGACACAAAACACACGTAATGACACGTACCAAAATGCAAAAACAATTCGCAATTGTTTATAATCTTTTAAAACGCAGGTTATTTGACACAAATTTATAACCTGTTATAGGTAACCAATAATTTGGCAAGACTTTGACAAACCTCAAAAATCTCGTTCAAAAAAGTCGAGTTAATACGCTTCTAATATCATGCATCGTCCATGCATACAATAATATTGAAATATGATCTGTAATTTTTGTAATAAACCAATAAAACTGGTTAAAAACAAGAGATGCTGCGCACGACGGATTTATATATAAACCCATCTATAGTTGACTTAAAAAAATATTAGAAACTTTTTTCAGTGAAATAGGTAGATTGGTATGGACGTCCTCTGCTTTTTTTCTGCCATCGTCTGTTGAAATCTTACCTGGGAAAAAAAACGAAGTATATATTCAAAACCCAGAAACACGCCCATGATGGCTTATTTCTTAAAAAAGAAACAAACATTTACATTTTTCTTGATATTTTCAAAATTAAGAAATATACTTTAGTACCGCAGATCCATAGGCTTGAAATTTCTTATTTCTTGGCGGAGCCAATTCCTACATTGGAAAATGAAAAACATTTTTCCCTTGTCCACATCAATTACCCCTTAAAAATTTTGCACTTCTTTCAGCGACACCCTGTATAAGTACGTAAAGAACGTTTCGATGTAAAGGAAAAACAAATTAGATAGAAAAAGTGATTTATTTACATATCAAAAAGCTATACAGGTTTATGCAGTTTTTACCAGGCAGTAACAACTGGAGCCGATAGACTTCTTCCAGACACAACAGTACCTGATGGTCCAGCTATTACGGTATGTTCACCAGACACAAGAGGGGCTGAATAAGCTGACAGCAGAGGAGCTGAATAAGCTGATACAATAGGTGCAGTATGAGCTACAACGGCTGGAGCGGCAACAATTGGAGCACTTCTAGCTACAACTCCCAAGGTTTCTTGTTGCACTATTTGACCAGCAGGGGAAATGGATGAGATAGAGCTACCATCGGGTCCTACTACAGTTGTTCTGCTACTTGGTCCTTGGATAATTCTAGCTGATGGACTTACCAGAATTCCAGCACTGGCAACGGCCAAGAAGGCAAACAAAAAGGCAATGCACTGTAAAATGTGAGTTAAAAAATAATCATGAAATTTGTGATTTTCGATTTAAAATAACGAATAATTTTGCATTTACTGTATAAGTGTTTAAAAACGTAATCATAAATTAGTTTGTATTAACGTTTAGACTTTTATAAAAAAATATTTTAGTTTACTTACGAATGAATTCATGTTGGTTGTGTTTGGTGTTTAATGTCAAATCAACTGATGATAATACCAAATTATTTTCTGCTATTTATACGAACTCGTTTGGTGCTAGCCTTGCCAAAAACAACAATAGATATGCGATAACACATATTATGTGCATTATGAAATTCTCTTTTAGGTGTACCAAAAACTACTTTAAATTTGATTAAGATAAAAAAAATCTTTACGTATACCCAGTAATGTATGTAATAAGAATAATGTTACTATTTCATATATTTCGTTTTGCATAAAATTTAAATGTCAAATATATTTACTTTTCCATATGATATACAAAGTTACATATTTAACTCAACTCAAAGTTACATCTAAAAAATATACCGGGTGCGTCTCAAAAGTGGCTCACCCCTATAACTTTTTTATTTTTTCAGATAAAAAAAACGAGATTTGCTTTGCTAGTATAAGACATAAATTAGGATTGAATGAAGTAAGTATCCAATTGTTCTTGGTCACTTCTGGTTTTACCGGAAACTACCACAACTTTTGATTTTTAAATAGCACCCTCGTTATATTTTTACTTTACTCGATAGCAAATGACACTTGGAATAGAATGACATATCATATGTCAACTTTTGACATTTTCGCTTAAAAAATAATTGCATTTTAAATTTCAATCTAGAGTGCCTTGCTTGTGTTAGAAACACTAATTTTTAACCAAGGAACTTTGGAAAAATGGATTTGATCGTCTAATGTTTTTAGTGCCTATTCCTGGCCGGTTAAAAGATGCCCAAATTGTATTTTTAATCATATTTCAATTTTTTCAAATGGAACAAGGGTAGCTCATTAGCATATTTGGAAACAGCATTTTCTTACAAATAATTTGGTACCACACATTTGGTATTCGAGTCAAATTGTTATGAACCGCATGTTACGATGTCAAATAAACCATATGCGAAAATGTCAAAAGTTGACATATGATATGTCATTCTATTCAGAGTGTCATTTTCTATCGAATAAAGTAAAAATATACCGAGGATGCCATTTAAAAATCAAAAGTTGTGGTCATTTGCGGTGAAACAGGAAGTGACCAAAAACAATTGAATACGTCAATCAATCCTAATTTATGACATATACTAATATACCAAAATCTCGTTTTTTTATCTGGAAAATATAAAAAATTATAGGGGTGAGCTACTTTTGAGACGCACCCGGTATATTTTGATACATTAATAAATGATTTTATAGTAAACATAAAATACATTATACATATAAAAATATTTTATTACAGTCTTACAGAACTCTAAAACATTACCCCCCAATTTCGGAGGACTTCACGCTCTTGTTAACATAGAATAAATAAATAAGTGAATATATATTAGTTCATTGTTACAAAGTCGTAAATAAATCTTAAGACAATTTAGCATAACATCTGGTGATGCAGTTAGATAATTCCTGACATTCTTTTTATTTATGCTGATTATAAGTATAACTATAAAATTGAAACAAATTATATTATTAATATAATAGTTTTTTGAATGTTTCTGCTCATACAGATTCTCGTATTTAGTATAAGTTATGTAGATATTATTTTTCAATATTAATACATGCTTCTATGCTATTATGTTTTGCTTCATTAGGTGTGGAAGTGTTAAACATTAGGTGTGGAACTGCGAAACGCGGTGTATGTATAACTTGAATATTTAGAAGATTATGCATAAATGATCTCGCATCGTCCCTTTTTGCTAACAACTTTCACCTGTTTTCCTGAAAGTGACAAAAATATAATAAAAGAGACAGTTTAGCGGTAAAAGCAAAAGATATTAACATATTTTTTTAAATTTTTAATTAAAGCCTAAAAATAGAGAATATACAGATATAGGTAATCAGTGCCAACTATTCAATAACTATTAAGTATAATGATTAATGGGATAAAATAAAAAGGAGGCAAAATAGAGAATAAATAAACTGATCATCAGTGACGCACCTAAAGGAGAGCCTGCGGGCGCTTAGCCCCCCAGATTAGTTGTGTTGGTCGTATAAAATTGTTTTTAATCTTAAATCAATATTGCCTTATAATGACCTAAGCCCCCCCAAAAGATCTGAGCCCCCCTAAAAGTTTGTGTCTAGCTGCGCCCTTGCTGATCATGCAGGATTAGTAAGAAATTACATAAAATAACTAATACCTACATAACTAGATTCTTTTGCATATTTTAGTTTATTTTTACACTTGTCTCAAGAGTTGCAATAACTACTCAAACTTTTAGGTATTGATTTCAAAAATTTGAAAATCAAGTAGCATACATTTCAGTATATGGATGATATATATTATTTTTTTATATCTAAATATTTGTATAGATCTCTTGTTTCTTATTTAATTACTCAACTATTAATTTAAAATATAAGAAATAGATACATTTTACATTTTCTACTCTGGAATTTCTACTATAAAATTATATTGAAATACAAAAACATCATTTTTTCTCTTTACAAAAAAATATTAAAGATTAAGAATGAGGAGTATTGTCGCGACCCCGTTTTAGAGGGTTGCGGCTAGGGACGTTTTAGGTATCGAAGATCATTGAAACAATCACTATATATAAAAACAAAGTATAAATTTACTAAAGAATTAAATACATTAATTTAGGTAGGAGAAATGTCAAGTAGAATATTTTTTGACCAATAAAATATACTAAGAGAAAATATATAAAAAATTATAAACTTACTTTACTGTCATTATGATACTTGGAGAACTCAACTCAACTGACCAACGTGACTTCTTGATTCATTCTCCCCGAGAGAGCCCCAAAACTCTCTTCCCATTTACTCTTTAATTATTCTACATATTGATATTTACAAAAATAAGAATTAAATAAAGTTCACTTTCAGATCTTAGTCTGACGTCAACTTGTTCTAAAAATATTATTATATATAGAGAAGAACCCGAGACTGCAGTATCAAAAATTGAATATTTCTCACGGTTTCCTAGATACCCTATAGAAACAACCAAAATGGTCCACCCTGTACAATATGAAAGAGTGAAAAATTATGAAATAATTTATTCCTCGAAAATTAGAAAATAAAATCTTAAAGCAAAAAAAACACAGGTTTCAAACATCAAAACCCGGTAGCTAAATTTTATCAATTCGTAGGCTTGAAAACAAGTATTATCTTTCAGGAACAAAAGCTTGCAAAAAACGTGTTTGCATATCATGGGTGTGTCTAAATTTTCACTATAAATATTCAGAAATAATTCAGTGATAATACAGTTCTTTTATCGAACGTCTCACAAAACACAATAACAATCACAATGAACTCCTTCGTAAGTACCATATATTTTAATTATTTATTTATTTTATATAAAAAAATCTTGTTTTTATTACAGTTCTCCGTTGCTCTCTTCTCCTTTTTGGCTGTAGCCAATGCTGGTGTTCTCGTAGGCCCTTCTGCCAAGATTATCCAAGGACCCAGCACAAGAACTACCGTTGTAGGTCCAGATGGTAGCGCTATCTCTTCTGTAGCTCCCGGAGGCCAAATCGTCCAAGAAGAAAGCGTAGCAGTTGTAGCTGGAACCGCCCCTGTAGTAGCCGCTTACTCTGCTCCATCAGTTCTAGCTGCCAGAACTGTTGTCGCTCCAGCATTATCTGCTTACTCAGCTCCAGTACTATCTGCTTATTCTGCTCCAGTTGTATCAGCTTACTCTGCTCCAGTTGTAGCAGCTTATTCTGCTCCTCATGTCTCCGGTGTTGTAGCTGCATCAGCTGTCAACACTGTAGTAGCTGGACCATCTGGAACCATCGCTACAGGAAGAACGGTAGCTGCTCCTATAGTTGCCGCTTGGTAAAATTGAGTGTGTTGTGATTTAAATTAATTTATAAATTATATATTGTATATACGATTTATATATTATGTAAATAAAGGATTTTTTTCATATTAAAGTATTTGCTTTTATATACCGGGCGCCACAGTGGTTCCCCTTAATTAGCTGCGCGGTCATAACTGTTAGATATCTAGAATAGCTTGACTGCACCTTTTTTAATAGAAATTGATAACAAATGCTAAATAAATGTATATAAAAAATTGCATTAAGCCCTTCAGGCATATTATATATTTGATTGCTTTAGAGTCACTTTGAAATATTTTATTCATGTTATGCATATTTCTGATATATATATATATATATATATATATATATATATATATATATATATATATATATATATATATATATAATATTTATATATATATATATATATATATAGTACGGTTTTTTTAATATAAAGAGTCCCTATATTTTGGTACCAAGATCGCCAGACTTTTTGCGGAATAATTAACAAAATATTAATATTCAGAAGCGTGCAGATTTAACTACCATTTTGAGTGATCTATTTTGATACATACAATTTACCAACAAATATTTTCAAACATCAAATTTTTCATAGTCTTATTTTATTCTACTTAACATTTAATTGTTAATTATACTTAGTTATTAGTTTATCTCAGCGTTTCATTTGTGTAATTCCTAAAATAAGTAATACCTATATTCTGAGTTGATTTCTCAGTTCTCAACTTAGAAGTTTTCGAAAGTAAATGGAAAACTGAGTGGCGCCCAGTATATTATAAAGACGTAAGTATCACAATTTAATTTTCACTAGCTTACGACCCATTGCTCACCGGCGAACAGCTCCGTCGCATAGTATTAGTTGTTTTAATATTTTTTCCAAAAGAAAATTCTTATAAAAAAAACATTCCATCATTTTTTTTATAACTTCTAATGCTACAGCATTTTAAGTTCTAACTATTCGGAAAGGTATACAGATTATGTTTGCACATATGTACATGTTTTTTCATATTGAAGAGGTCAAATTTATGTTGAAAAAATAAAAGAGACAGTTGTTTCATTTTATAAATACAATTTTATTGTCAATTGATATACAGTGTGTTCGCGAAATAAGTTGACACGAAGAGGAAAAAATAAGTTAGTTTTATTTTAAGACAAAAAGTCAATCTTTAACCACCCGGTATAAGAACCGGCGGCAATTCGCGGCAGCCAGTGGCAATTAATTTATAAGTATGCAATATTCTTTAAGCAACAAGTATTATCATGCCGTTTAAGAGGATTTGAAAGAAAAGTTGTTAAAAGTCTTAAAGAGTGACAAGCAAAAATGTAAAAATACTATTTTTGTTGCCTTCAAATAAATTGCCATAAACTAATATTACTTAGGTTTAATTAAGTGCAAAAAAGAAAAAACAGTTCTTTCTACCTTCTTTTCGAACGTCCATTACAGAAAATGCAACAGCTTTTATCAATTTTAATAAAATAAGTAATTAATTGGCGTTATCTGAAAACTGTTTATGTCAGCTTGATACCAGTAGCAAAAATGTGACATTTCTAATAAAAAAGCGCTACAGTAAGCTTACTTGATTTTGTTATTTATTATGTATCTTTTATAGGGGAATATAAGAAAAGTATTAGCAACAGTTTCTTGCAAACATTTTGAAATTAATATTTCTAAGTAATGACCTATTTGGGAACCACTGTAGAACCGTCTCAAAAGTGGTTCACCACTATAATTTTGTATTCTCTCAGATAAAAAAAGAACGAGATTTGGTATGCTAGTATATGACATAAATTAGAATTGATTGAGGTATTCAATTGTTTTCGATCAATTCCTGTTTTATCGGAAATGATTACAACTTTTGATTTTTAAATAGTACCCTCGGTATATTTTTACTTTATTCGATAGAAAATGACACTGACTACAATGGCATATAATGAATGATCATATGTCAACTTTTGACATTCTCGCTTAAAAAACGCATTACAATCTAGAGTGGCTATGTTAAAAATACTATTTTTTTAATCAAGGAGCCTTGGAAAAAATATTTGATCGTCTAATGTTGTTCGTGTCTTGTCCTGGCCCGTTAAAAGACGCCCAAATCGTATTTTTAATTAATATTAATTTATCTCAATTTTTTCAAATGGAACGAGAGCGGCTCATTAGCATATATGAAAAAAAAAACATTTTTTACGAATAATTTGGTATTACATACTTGGCATTTCGAGTCAAATGGTCGTTATAAACCGCATGTTACAATTTCAAATAAACCGTAGGCAAAAATGTCAAAAGTTGATATATGATATGTCATTCTATTTAGACTGTCATTTTCCATCGAATAAAGTAGAAATATACCCAGAGTGCTATTTAAAAATCAAAAGTTGTAGTCATTTCCGGTGAAACATGAAGTGACCGAAAACAACTGAATACGCCAATCAATCCTAATTTATATCATATATTAATATACCAAATCTCGTATTTCTATCTAAAAAAAAAATAAAAAAAGTTATAGATGTGAGCCAGGTTTAACATGCACCCGGTATAGTAGATAATATTTTAAGAGTGAATGCTAGTTAAAAATAAGGAGAAATATTCTTAATAATAATCTCGTAATATTCTTAACAAAATTGGTTTAATGTTGCTTCTACAGAAGTACTAAAAATTTGTATTGCTGCATTCTAACTTTCGAACATATTTCTAAATAACTATCAAAGATTAAAAAGATTAAATAAGAGAATATGTAGTAATTTCAGTATAAATCTAAGAGCACAACAGTGTAAAAGGTAAACGATTGGTTCCTAAAAAGATATCGGTAAAATACGCAACAGTTTGATAAAATATTAGAAATGTCAAATAGTAAGTTTTTTAACTCCGATCTTCTTATTATAGAACTTTTGTTCATGCTTGACTCATCTTATCTTTTTATTGGAGTTTAAAGTTGAAAAATAATTTATAAATCAGCTGATAATGACTGTGAATGACATAATATTGTCAAATATTTTTGAGCAACCGTGTTTCGTAATAATAAAAAAATTCAGGAAAAAAACATAGAAACGGAACAGAAAACCATATTCAAGGTAAGAAACGGAATTTGTATAATATAGTATAGAAACAATAAAAGGAGGAAAAATAATATATGATAAATATATGTCTTTATTTTTATATACATTTTCTCAATTCAAAATTATGCTTATAATTCTTCGGTTTATAAATTAAATTTCATCACAGCACCTTGTCCTCATTACCAAGCAGAAACTACGGGAGCAGCAAAACTTCTACCAGCAACAATGCTGCCAGATGGTCCAGAAACAACAGTGTCTATACCAGACACCAGAGGAGCAGAATAGGCTGATACTACTGGAGCTGAGTACGCTGAGTAAGCTGATACAACTGGAGCGGCATAGGCAGAGACTGCTGGAGCGACTACGGATCGGGCAGCTACAACGGCTGGGGCATGGTAAGCGGCTAGAGCGGGAGCAGAGTAGGCAACAGCAGGGGCGGCCACTACAGGTGCGGTTTCGGCTACAACTCCTACGCTTTCTTCTTGGATGATTTGGCCGGCGGGTGCTACAGAAGAGATGGCGCTACCGTCAGGTCCGACCACAGTGGATCTGCTGCTGGGTCCTTGGATGATTTTGGCAGAAGGAGCTACAAGAACTCCGGCATTGGCTACAGCCAAGAAAGCGAAGAGGGCTACAGAGAACTACAGAAAAGAATATGTGTTATAAATAACATACTAATAATATCAGTGGCAGTTCGTAAAACCAACCAGTTCGTTCTAAACCAAAAAGCGCCCTAATAAAAGGAAAGAAATAAGTATACCGGGTGCGTCTCAAAAGTGGCTCACGTCTATAAATTTTTATTTTTTCAGATAAAACAACGAGATTTGGTATGTTAGTATATGACATAAATTATGATTGATTGACATATTCAATTGTTTTCGGTCACTTCCCGTTTCACCGGAAATGACTACAACTTTTGATTTTTAAATGGCACCCTCGGTATTTTTTTACATTATTCGATAGAAAATAAAACTCTGAATCGAATGACATATCATATGTCAACTTTTGACATATTCGCTCAAAAACAAATTGTATTTTAAATTTCAATTTAGAGTGCCATGGAGCCATAGGTGTGTTAAAAACAATCATCTTTAATCAAGGGACCTTGAAAAAATAGATTTGATCGTCTAATGTTTTTAGTGTCTTGTCCTGACCGGTTAAAAGATGCCTAAATAGTATTTTTAATCATATCTCAATTTTTTTCAAATGGAACGAGGGTGGCACATCAGAATATTTGAAAAAAGTATTTTTTTACGAATAATTTGATACCACACACTTGATATTTCGAGTCAAATTGGCACCGCATGTTATAATTTCAAATAAACAATATGCAAAAATGTCGAAAGTTGACATATGATACGTCATTCTATTTAGAGTATAATTTTCTATGGAATAGAGTAAAGAAATGACCGGTGCCATTTAAAATTCAAAAGTTTAAGTCATTTCCGGTGAAACCGGAAGTGACCGAAAACAATCGAATATGTCAATCAATAATAATTTATGTCATATACTAACATACCAAATCTCGTTGTTTTATCTGAAAAAATAAAAAAGTTATAGGCGTGAGCCACTTTTGAGACGCACCCGGTATACTTATTTCTTTCCTTTTATTATGGCGGTTGGTGCCTTAATAAAAAGAAAACATGGACAAAAAGGATACATGGACACGGGCACGTGCCCACGTGTACTTTAGGACCTGCCGCCACTAACTAATATTATAATCTGAGCCTAGTACACCGACTATATACTAATATTTAATATTGTTGTTTTAAAAAACTGATTTAATTTTAATTTGTGTCTTTAATGACTATGTGTATTAAATATTTCTATATTTAAGTTCATAAAACTTAACAAACAAATATATCGCTTTTGAATTAAGGAAATTTGAGATTCCTATAAGACTTTTTATACTATTATCCTAAAAATTGTAAGATTTTATATGCTTAATAGTAAACAGTGTCACTACTTACTAAATGGTCCACAATATTAACCAAATGTTAATCAACTTGAATAGTATAAAAAATTAGGTAAAGCACTCAGTTGAATCAGTACATTAGGAAAAAATAGTGTAAGACTAAAATAGAGCCTTTAGGACTATATGCACCTTTCATTCTTTTGATTTTTTTAATGGACATAAAATATCATAATTTATCAATTCTTATTATTTTTTCTAAATTAATTTTTAAAACTTCTTGAATTTAAAAAAATTACCAAAAATTAAGTATTAACTCCATATTATATAGTATTCTAAATAGTAATTAAATTAAGCTTGATACTTACGAAAGTGTTCATTGTGATGTGTTTGTGATTGGTTCAACAGAAGAACTATATTCGATTTATCATAGCGATCGGTATATATACGAAAAAATTGGGCGACGCCTATATAATATGCATAAATTTTTATTGTTTGTTCTAATCCAATCTGTCGGTTAAACTTCCTGAACGACATATTTAATATGTATTACGATCTGTAAATTTAAACATGTTTTTTTTTTAATAATTAGAACAATCTTTGTGCCAAAAATAAACCTTAACCTATACGCTTAAGACATTTACATAATTAATTATACATATTTTTAGACAGTTTAATAATATTTTAAATATAGCAGTCCAAGATGGCGTCGGAGGGACTGCCACCTGAGGCAATTCCTCCTGATATTAATTATAAATGTCATCCAGATAAACGGAATGCTACAGTATTTTGTGTGTTGTGTGACAGTGTTTTTCATAAGAGTGACTTTAACAGAAGAAAAGGTGTAAAATACCTAAGCAATGTTATGGTTGTTTGTGATGAACATTCGGGAATAGACATAACCTCAACTTCAGCTCAGGATTCACGAGTTATTTTAGCCGCTTTGAAATCTCAAGTACAGACACAAAACAATACAATTGATGAATATAGAAAGAAACATAATAGGCTCAAATTTGAACACAACAATTTAGTCATTAAACACGAAAATTTATTAGCCGAACAAAGAGAGAATAACAAAGAGGATAACCTAACAAAAACAACACCTTCTGATGGAGAGATTAACAAAATGAATGCACTAAAAACAGAAAATCTGCTATTAAAAGAACTAAATGGGACCCTTAATGACAAAAACAAGCTATTAGAGGAATTACTGGAGAAAGAAAAAGCAACCTCAACAATACAAAAGTCTTTTGCCACTGTTTTAACTTCACCAAAAATAGGCATGCAACCGAAAGCAATACCAAAAATAATTATCAAGAGAAAAAACAACGAAGATAAGTCTGATATGAAAGAAAAAGTGCTACAATATTTAATAAAAGAGAAAAGCATACAAACAAAGAAAGTTTCTTTAAATAAGAAGGATGAAATTATAATTAATTGTATGAACATTGAAAGTTTTAAGACAGCTGAGAAGGTTTTAGATGAAAAGCTATCAAGAAATTACAAAATAGAAAAAGAACAATTAAGAAAACCAGTTATTAAAATAATAGGAATTGAAAATACTTTTAACTTAACTAAAGAAGATATAGAAGAAGATATAAACAATAGAAATTTTGCTGACTTACTATCGAAAGGATCAATAATACATATTTTTACTAAAAATCAAAAGACAACTGTGTTAATGGAAGTGTCTCCGGAAATACATAAACATATAAGAGAAAACAAAGACAGGATTTTTGTGGGATATCAAAACTGTAAGGTGTTTGACGTTATCAATGTAATACCATGTTTTAAGTGTGGAAGATTTGGTCATAGTGGTACAAAATGCAGGAATGATCCTATTGTTTAAAATGTGCGGGGCCTCATTTATCCAGAAATTGTGATGGGACAAAACCAACGTGTTGTGCAAATTGCAGCTATAGCAATAAAAAACATTTGGCACAAAATACAACTGTGAGCATGTAACAATGGACAGTGAAATGTGTGTGATATTAAAAATAAGATTAAAAAAGGTAATGGATAGCACTGACTATACTATCAAGCCTCTATTTCCCCGATTCTTGGGAAAGATAGATACCCTCAAAATTGTGGAACCCAATGGATCAAAATAGTTTAGGCGATGGTATTGTAGAAAAAGAAACTGAGTATGATGATTTTATCACATTTAATAATGGTAATATAGGTAAAAACTTAATTTTTTATGTTAATGTGAGAAGTTTGAATGCCAATTTTAATAAACTAGAATTGACTATTGCAAGTTTAAAAATTAAACCTATCATTATTGTTTGTGTTGAAACATGGAATCTTGTAAAATATGAACAATTTAGCATAAAAGAATATAAAATATATTATAATCAGAGTAAGATAAACAAATCTGATGGTGTTGTTATATATGTAAGGGATAACATAGAAAGTGCTCCAAAAATTGAATGTATTGATAGGCTGAATCTTATGAATATAAATATTAAGACTAATAATTATTATAACAATATTGAAATCTCGGCACTTTATAGATCACATGACATACCAAAAAATGAATTCTTAATAAGTTTAAAAAAGTATTTGGATAATAAAAAAAATATTAAAAATCATTTAGTTATAGGAGATTTCAATATTGATCTGTTGGAGCACAACACTGTTAGCCAGGAATATCTGAGTAACTTTCTGGAGGATGGCTATATGCCTTGTTTCCAGGGAGTAACAAGGCCAGCAGAATGTAATCAGGAAGGAACCTGCATTGATAATTTTTTCTTTAAAACAAACACTATAGCATATAAAGCAATTAAAATTACTCAAACTTTTACAGATCATTATCCACTATTTGTTAATATAGATACAACTCTAATGAATAAAGAAAGTAATTATAACCCAAATAGAATAAATTATAAAAAACTTAAAAATGTAGCTAATAAAATAAATTGGAATAATTTTTTGTTGGAAGATCCTAATGTGAGCATTGACTTAATAATTGAAAATATACAAAATTGTATATGTAAATCAAAAGAAAGTAAAAAAACAAATAAAAATGGCAAAAAATTGCCTAGAAAAAATTGGATTACAAAAGGAATAATAATATCATGCAATAAAAAAGAACATCTTTACAACTTGTGGAAACTAGATAAAAAAAATGAACAACTAAAAAAAGATTATAAAACTTACATAAAAATACTTGATAAAGTTATAAAAGATGCTAAAGTTAAACATGAAAAAAAACTGGTTGAAGCAAATTGTAATAATCCAAAAAATCTCTGGAAAATAATAAATAATAAAATAGGAAAAAGAAAAAAAGAAAATAACAAAATAGAACATATTATAGATGACAATAATACAAAAATAACAAACGCGGAACACATAGCTGAAGCTATGAATGGTTATTTCAGTGAGATCGGTGACATATTAAGTAAAAAAATTCAAAAATTCTCAGATGAAAAAATAAATCTTCCACCAATGAATCCAAAAACTATTTTTCTTAAACCAACTAGCACAGACGAAATTAAAACAATAATAAATAATTTAAAAAATAAATCGGGTGGGGTAGATAATATCCATGCTACTACACTAAAAGTGTTGTCTGAGAATATTGCAGAACCATTAATGCATGTTTTTAATAAATGCATTGAATTTTCTTTTTGGCCGGATTCCTTGAAAAGTGCAGAAATAGTTCCCATATATAAGGCAAATGAGAAAAATAAAACACATAATTATAGGCCCATCTCTTTAATTTCAAACATTGCAAAAATTCTTGAAAAAATAATCCATAGTAGGTTATATAACTTTATAATAAATAACAAAATAATCTCAGAGAATCAATATGGTTTTCTTAAGAATATGGGAACTAGAGATGCATTTTCAAACATAACGAATATAGTTTATAATAATCTGGATAAAGGAATCCCAATAATTGTAGCTTTCCTAGATTTGGCTAAAGCTTTTGACACGGTCAATCACAGGTTGCTATTAGATAAATTATATCAGTATGGGATAAGGGGAAGTGCACATAGATTGTTAAATAGTTATCTAAACAACAGAAAACAGAGAGTTAAAGTCAATCATACTATAAGTTCTTATCGAGAGGTAAAAGTAGGAGTTCCACAAGGTACAATACTTGGACCCCTTTTGTTTATAATTTATGTGAATGACATCTTGGAGTCTTTATCAAAAAATACAATAATGTCATATGCAGATGACACAGCAGTTATTTCTGCAGCAAAAACTTGGGAGGAAACAATAAAAAACATGAATCTTTATTTGGAGAAAATTTCAAGATTGTTAGCATTGAATAAGTTGTCATTGAATATAGATAAAACTGTTTTTATCACCTTTGGAAATTACTGTGATAGTGTGCCAGACCGGGTAGAAATAAAAATTAATAATAAGTGCCTAAAACGTGTAAATAGTTATAAATATTTGGGCGTAATTTTTGATTATAGACTTAGCTGGGCTGAGCACATAAATCATGTTATAGGCAAAACAAAATACTTAACAATAATTTTTTATAAACTAAAACAAATTATGACCACTAAAACACTAATGTTAATTTACTATGCTTTTTTCCATAGTGTTGTAAGCTATGGAATTATAGCATGGGGAGGTGCTTATATGAATAACTTGAATGTTGTGAATAATCTACAGAAAAAATTAATAAAAATGATCAGTAAAAACACTTTATTTACAACAAACTTACCACTTAATTTAGAACAACTTTTTTCTTTAGAATCTTTAATTTATCACTACAATAGTCTTAAAACAATATATTTACAATCAGAAAGTATAACAAGAAACAAAAGTATACCGTTACCCAAAATGATTAAAAGAGTAAGCAATAAAAATAATTATAATTTAGCAATAAAATTATATAATAGGTTACCAAATGAGTTAAAATCACTAACAGCATCAAAACATAATATTAAAACTAAAATAAAAAATTGGGTTAGAATTAATGTTTGATTTAAAAGATAATTATGTTATAGAATTTTTTTTTGTGGTTTTTATGGTTTCATGAGTCATATAACAAGTGAATACAGCAACCCGCTGTTATCATTTGTAGTCATGTTTGGCACACTAGGTTAGGTTAGTATTAATTATTGTTGTTATGTATTAGTAGTTTGTTAATTATTATATAGGTACATCCAGCCCTACACACAGATAATTTATTTATCTCTGTAGGAGTTACAATGTAGTATTATTATTTTGTAATTTTTGTTTCTGGAAATAAATTATTATTATTATATCATGTAATATGGTTGTATTGTTACAGTAATATTTTTATTTATTGAATATACCGTATGATCGAAAAAAGCGGCGTCCAGTTGGCTTGGAAATGAACATCGATTACATTCCCCATATAATTTTACATATAAAATGACAGCGATCTTCATTTCATAGCCATCGCTGACGCCTTTTTTTTTCGATCATAC